CCCCCCCCCCCCCCCAGCAACCAGTCAGTGACTGTGGGGGGGGGAGGTCCCTCATTGGTCGATCTTGCTGACTGGGGGCGGGGAGGGTCACCCCGCAGCTGATCACAAGATGGCCAATCACTCACTGCGGCTGCTTCTAGGAGCGCCACAGTGTTCCACTCCCCAGCCGGCGCTTGCAGGGGGAGCACCAGCACTCCTACCTGCCCCCCCACCCATTGCCTAAGCAGCGAACACAGCCAGTCCAGGGGCTCAATGGGGCCATGGGGCTTCCCTCCCCAGGTGGGCTCAGGTGGCAGTAGCAGTGCCTGGCCCCAACTACCTTTCCTCAGGGTCCTCCACCCCACAGGGCTCAGGTAGCCACAGCCGTGCCTGGCCCCCACTCTTCCTCCTCAGGGTCTTGTACCCCACAAGGCTCAGGTGGTCACAGCCATGCCTGGCCACACTACCTCTGATGGTACGTGACCCACCTGAAAGTGAGGGCTAGGGTTAAGGTGCCCCTACCCGCCTTTCACCGGGGTGGTAACTGGCCTGGTATTTCCTGGGGGCTCCCACACCACTGAGAGCCTCACCAGCAGGGTGCAGTTTTAGGTCATGCCCAGGACCAGGAGCCTCCAAGCCATCCCCTACAGCTCCTGCCCTTACCTCCAGGATGTTGCATGGAGTCTTACAGCCAGGCAGTTTTACTGCCTGGCTTGCAAGCAGCGAACTGCTCTCTTTCTATACATGGCCAGAGATCTAAAATGGCAACTGCAATCAAGCACCTGCTGGCTGCTTGGCTTTGCTCTTAAAGTGGCAGGTACCAACAATGCCCTGCCACATACCTCCCCCCTTAAAATAGATCCTGGGGGAGGTTTCCTCTGCTGCTCTTCCAAAGCAGGCTCCCCTCAGAGCCTGTGAAAGCCCTCAGGTGGCAAGCACCCCCAAAGGTCCTCTGCCACACACCTCCCCACTTAGAATGACATTCGAGGGCTTCGCTTGGCTGCCTTCTCTGCTGGCTTTGTCCCAGCCTGCTGCAGCCCCTTCCACAAGGCGAGCACCCCAAAGGTGCTCCGCCACATATATAAAAGTGAGGAAGAAGTGCATGCTTTTTGCATTTGGGCAGGCAGAAAAATGAGGAGGGAGGAAAAATTCCATGAACTTCAGAAGGAATAATAGAGAACAATCTAGTCTTGTTGTTGGACTCTCACAGAATTTTTTTTTTTTGTGGGAGGTGCTCAGATAGTAATAATGGTGCCTAATTAAAAATTACTCACATAGTGTCAACAGCAGTACAGCTGATGAGGTGGAAATGTAATGGGAATGCAAACATTGTGCTATGCAGACACGATAGCTAGATTTAAACTAGATTAGCCATTCTGTTTGGGAATGCATGGTAGAAAAACCCGTTTGTGTCTATTTTCTGTGTCTAATGGAACCCTGACCTGTTTCTCTGCAAATTAATTTTCCTATTTATTGATTTTCCTCTCCCAAGCTGAGTGCTCCATTGTAGGTAACTCCCATTTCACAACATTTGATGGTCGTTATTTTACTTTTCTTGGGATTTGCCAATATGTTCTGGTAAAAGGCACTGGGAAAGACAAATTTACAGTCATTTTACGGAATGCTCCATGTGGACAGGTGAGGTTATACTTTTATACATTTGCAATGCTAAATGGGTACATAAATGTTTTAGGTAGTCTCATGTAGACAGCCATTGAAAATTTACCTGGGCATGAAACAGCTTTGAACAAAATTGAAACACCTTTGCTGCTTTTTATTAATGAGTGGCTAAATACATGTTATTCATAGCCTGTATTTTATACTAATATATGACCACTGTCCTTTGTAAAATCGGTTGCAGCCTTTCTTGGGCTTAAATCTATGGAGTCTGTCATCCATTCATGATTACACATTTATCTACATATTTGGTTACATCTTGAGCAGGTGTTTTAGATAAATACTTTTGCTGACAAGTTGGAGCAGGTTTACTATACCATCATCTAGATAAGGCATTTCATAGCAGCTTACAATATTTAGTTGATGTTTTGTGGGCTATCTCTGCTCTTGGAATGCTAAATTTAAGAAATGTGTTAACTGAAATGCATATTATTTTCAGGTTGAAGGGTACCATGTATTTAAAGCACACATGATTTAAAAAACTTAGAATGTTGCTAGTCTAACTTAGTACTTTTTGTCCTTTTAAGGCACTTTATTATACGTTAATTTATCATTGTTTTGGGGAATTATCCTTCTTATGATAGTCAGAAATCACAGGTGTATTCCAAGGGGAAGGGAAGAGTCTTGTATTTGTGAAATCTAGGGTGGGTAGTTTTAGAGATGTCATTCTGGTGTTGAAATGTGCACCTGGACCCATATGAGGTGACCCTTGCTTTTATTAGGAACTACAGTGCAGTCAGGCTTTAGGAATGGGCACAGGAATCTTCCATTTAGACCCATATTTAAAATTGGAGCTTTAGGTTGCTTGCTACTTCATTTCCATTAATAAAAATAATTGGTTCTGCACATCTTGTGCAGTGCCCTACCTGGCATAAATATACTGTATTTGCACTCACTGTTATGTGCACTTTTCCATGGTTTTTCCAGGTTAACATTTTTGGGCACTGGTCCACAAAAGTCTCATCTAATGATGATACTCATGGTTGTTTTATATAGAAGTTTTGTTCTGTATGAACAAGCTGAAACTTATTTATCTTCTGAAAAAAAAACTTTGAATTTTTTTTAATTCATTTTTGCTCAGAAACTTGACCACGCATGCATCCAGTCTATCATGTTAATTCTTGAAGATGATATGAATAAACAAGTTACTGTTACCAGGAACGGTGATGTCCAAATGGGCCCTAACCAGGGTCTTAACATTAATGGTAAGAAATATATGGATAGGAGTGCCACTAAAGTTCACATTTTTCTTTGTTTTTTCTAATGCTTTTTATTACACTTTTTCTATGTAAATAATTCTTAAGAAAACCATGAAAGATGCCATCACTGTTAAAAACTGACTTTAAGATTTTAAATTGCCTATGGAATACTGTACATACTCAGATACAGGGTGCACACTTTGCAATAGTGTAAGTCACTCCACTTCAGGGGGAAGTTTCCTCTCAAAGTGAAAAATAACTGTATGTTGGTATACCCAGTGTGTGTCTGCTTCCCTAGCCAATTCATTCTTGGGTAGTTTCCCTCCTGATCTTGCCATTACTGTCAGTGAATAAGTCTCATCCACTCACTCACTTGGTTTCACCAGATATTGGCAGTTAGGTGGATGAGACAGCTTACAGTGTCCCTCAGTGTATGCCCCCAAATTGTTCTCAGGTTAGGGGAAAAGCGCTGAGGAGAGTGCCCCCATCTACTGTACCTAGCTGCTGATGTGCCTCAGAAGAAGTGAGTGAATGGGGCTTATTTTTTTTTGGTAGCAGTACTGGAATGATTCAATGTCCAATATTTAATGAAAGCAGCTGTCTTGAGAGGTCTGCTGCAGAATAAAGTTAAAGGTAAGTTACCCCCAAGGACACTTACAGAAATTTAACCTACCCTGAATTTATTTTCTGTAGGATCATCCTGGGTGCAGACAGCAGAGACAATGTGATCTGATTGGGCCTGATAAAGCAATCTACAGCCATGAACAAAGAGAAATGCACAACTGCAGACTGGTTTAAAAGGGCCCGATCCTTTGAAAATTTGAACACGCTCCAGAATAGTACATTTTGTAACTTGGGTCTGTGGAGCTTTCAGCCTTTTGCTTTTTTACAGAATAGGAGGGATGAAAGGGAGTGCAAGGAGTTTGTTCTAGGTTTTTTTTTTCAGCCAGCATTAGAGGATACAGCAGGTGTATTGGAGCCCCCCCACCGGGTGGGGGGATCCTATCCATCCAGTCCACCCTCCAGCATGGCTGGGGAACCCCAAGAATAAGTTCCCTTTGCTCCCTTCCCCCCCCCCATTTTGAAAACAGTGTCAGGCTGGTAGGGGGAGAGTGGCATTGCTTTGGAGGCCAGGCTGTAGGCTGGCAGCAAGCAGCTGGAATCATCAGCTCCCGGACCTAACAACAAACTTCTGTTGGGTCCGGGGGACTGTTGTAACTCACAGTGCTTCCTGCAAACTACTATGAGTTGCAATGGGGAGCTGCTCTTCCCCCAACTGATATTGATGAAATGGGTCCAGCATTATTTTAGTTTGTGTGAAGTTATTGCAAGCAAAGATTGAAGAGAGAAAATGTGGCTTAATGTCATCCGCATGAGACAGACACCTAAGAATTCCTGAGTTCTGTTCTGGACTGTGACTGAGGAGAAGTTGGGATGTTAGTATTTCTGAAGTTAAGGTTGAAGATAGCATTTGATTATCTAATTCTGAGCACACTTGTTAACCTGAAGGTAAGCTCGGGTAGAAGTAAGTTAATAGGCTTAAACTGATTGTAGGATGTTCTGATTATCAAAATAAATTTTGAGGGAAGCCTTGTAAATATTAAGGTGACACATTAAAGCTCTGACTTCTGGAAAATGTGGGTATATAGTTAAACAAAGTTTAAATGACCTTGGTTCTGCCTTTTGGTGTTCTCAGTAGTTTATAGAACCTCTTTGCCTGTGATAAAAAGGGTGTGCGAAACGGGCTGTATTCAATTTGGATTCAGCCCGTATTGGGGACAGTGATTTGATTCGTTGATTTGGATCACCATCCCTGATTTGATTCGGCCAAATCTGAAGATTCTATGCTGATTTGGAGAATCAGTGATTTGGCCGTAGACACAGCTTTAAGAGAATTTTTCTACGTACCTCAAGGTGGTAGGCACGACTCATGATCACTGAGATGCCGGGGTGGATGGAGCATTCCACAGGAGCCCACCATGTGCTCGGTGGTAAACCCAGAAATGGACCAGAAGTATTTCCAGTCTACTTCCAGGTCCACCACTGAGCATGCGGGGGCTCCCCCTGCACCCTTCCCAGCTTGGCGATCAGCTGTGGGGGGACCCTGGGTTTCCTCCCAGACCCAGGAGGCACCGGTCGCCGAGGTGCGGGGGGCCACCCAGTGCGCTCCCCCGCAGACCCAGAAATGGACCAGAAGTGCTTCTGGTCCACTTCTGGGTCTGCTATCAAGCATGCTAGGGACCCCCTCGTACTCCTGTGGGATGCTCCATGCACCCCACCATTGAAGCATTCACAAGCTGCCTGGTACCTTGAGGTATGTAGAAAAAACATTTAAAGCTGTGTCTATGTTTGAATTATCGAATCTTTCCCAATCTCTATGAATCAATTTGGAGGATTCTGATTCAATTCAGAGCAATTTAAAGAGTCTCCTGATTCAATTCAGAGATTTGGCTACTGAATTGGACCAAATCTCTGCCAAATTGAATCAGCAACTGAAGCTTTGCACAGCCCTAATAAATACCTTGGCATAGGTTGACATACTTTTAAATTGTAAAGGTCTGAACAGTTTGGTAGATATTAAGTCAATTGAGCATTTTAAAGTCTCATAAACTTAAGCCTTTTGTCTGCAGCTTAAAACAATTTAAATCTCTTTCACTGCAGTTAATGCATCAGAATGTATATAGATTTTCTCTAAGGGTGACTAGGTCTAAAGTGTCTGCAACTGCAGGGAGTCTAACCGCCATGAGTAGCAAATAGAATGATTGTAAAATTTCATTTCTCTAGTGCAGGAATGTCAAACTCACCTACCCCTTGGGCCTGCATCTGGACCACAAGGCTCCTCATGTGGTACATCTGCCAGGGTGAGCAGCATCAGGGAACCATGGGGATTAACATAGGCATTGTTCAGCTGCCCAATGCTGGAAGATGTCTCCAGTGGGGTTGTGTATGCATATTTCAGTGGTGGGCCTGTCCCCTGAATTCCTGGCTCCTGCAGGCCATTGGCATCCCTGCACTAGTGTACCCAGGAGAAAGCTGAACTGAATGACTACTTTGCCTCGGTCTTTCACTGTACCAAGGGGAAAACCACACCAGGTAGAGTAGAGGATGAGCACGGTTGGAATAATCACTTTCCTACTTTTGCCATAGAATTGGTTATATGACAAATTAAAAAAAATTAGACATATACAAGTCAGTGGGACCAGATAATCTTCATCCAAGAGTGCTGAAAGAGCTGGCCAAAGTCATTGCAGAAGCCCTGGTGAAACTCTTCCACAACTTGTGGCACTCTGGAGAAGTCCCTGAGGACTGGAAGAGGTCCAACATTTTTCCCATCCACAAGAAGGGCAGAAGGGAGGACCTGGGTAACTATAAGCCAATCAGCCTAACTTCCATCCTAGGGGAAATCCTAGAAAAGTTCATCAAGGAGTCTATCTGTGATAAGCTTGCAGAAGGTAAGGCTTTGAATGACAGCCATCATGGCTTCATTGCGGGCAGATCTTGCCTTACCAACCTCATCTCCTTCCATGACCAGGTAATTCGCCACCTGGACACAAGAGAGCAGGTTGACATTGTATACCTTGACTTTCAAAAGGCCTTTGATCTAGTATCCCACAATGTCCTCATGACAAAATTGGAGGATTGTGGGCTTAACTCCAAGACAGTCAGGTGGGTGAGAAGGTGGCTGCAGGATAGGACCCAGAGAATCGTAGCGAACGGATCTGTCGTCCTGGTGAGAAGTGGGCAGCGGTGTCCCACTGGGATCGGTGCTTGGCCCAGTACTTTCAACATCTTTATTAATGATTTGGATGTGGGAGTGAAGAGCTCACTGGCCAAGTCTGCAGATGACACCAAGTTGTGGGGGAGCATGGTCACGCTTAAAGATAGGCTACAGATACAGACGGACCTAGACAGGCTAGCAATTTCGGCGGATCGGAATCTGATGAAGTTCAATGTCAAGAAATGTAAAGTGCTCCCTTGGGATGAGCCATCCCCCACACACCTACAGACTTGGTGGCACCAAACTGACTAGCACCATGAATGAAAGGGACCTGGGGGTAATAACAGACCGTGGTATGAATATGAGCCAGCAGTGCAATGCCGTAACTTGTAGGACAAATATACTCTGGCATGCATCAATCGATGCATCTCCAGCAAAACCAAGGAGGCAATTCTTCCGCTTTAGTCAGCACTGGTGAGACCACAGCTGGAGTACTGCATCCAGTTCTGGGCACCACACTTTAACAAGGACATGGACAAGCTTGTGAGAGTCCAAGGAAGGGCCACTCTTATGATCAGAGTGTTAAAAGGCAAGCCATACAAGGAAAGGCTGAGGGATCTGGGACTCTTCAGCCTGAGGAAAAGAAGGCTGAGAGGGGACCTGGTGGCAGTTTACCACTGCACTAGGGGAGTACATCAAGGGCTCAGTGAGCAACTGTTCACTAGGGCACCCAAGGGGAAAACCAGGAGTAATGGCCACAATCTCCTGGAAGACCGATTCAGGCTCAACACTAAGAAAAACTTCTTCGCAGTCAAGGTAGAATAAACTCCCTCCAGAGGTGGTGCAATTGCCTACTCTGGAAATCTTCAAAAGGAGATTAGACAGACACCTTGTTGGGGTCACCTGACCCCCAGTTATCTCTCCTGTTTGGTGCAGGGGTCTGGAACTAATGACCTTCCAAGGTCTCTTCCAGCCTTACAAACTATGAATTTATTAGGAAGGTGTGGGGTAGGAACTGAATAGAGCTTTTGTTTACATTTGAAATATGTATTTACTTGAACATAAGATGACTCTGAATATGAGAGAACCCCCCAGTAATTAAATTCTATACAAGTACTCCTCACTTAATGTCTTCCCAGTTAACGTTGTTTTGTTATTACATCACTGATGTATTAGAGAACATACTTGTTTAAAGTCGCGCAATGTTCAGTTATTATGTTGTTTGGCTGCCACCTGCTAGTAGGCAACTACTGTGATGTAATTGGATTCGTTTAACATCGTTTTGCTTAAAGTCACATTTTTCAAGAATGTAACTACAACGAGGAGTAGCTGTTTATGGAAATTTATAAGTTTGATGTAATTTTCTAGGTATAGAATCTAATTATTAGAGATTTGCCTTGAGTTTGTCTCCCTACCACTACTACAGCAGGCAAAATAAATCTGGAGGGGTTAGGCCCCTGCCCTCTGCCCCGCCTGCAGTCTTCCTGCCCTACCTTTACTGTCAAACCCTGCTCAGGCTCTGTTTCCTCCCCAAGCATGATGTGGAAGTGAGCTACATGTGACAATAAGGTAGGGGGAAAGGGACAGAGAGGGAAGAAACTGCAGAGAGGAGCAGAATACTGTTGTGGATCTGAATCTGGTCCCACTCCTGCCTGCTGTAAGCTTTAGCACAGATACTCCATAAACACACTTTTTAGCAGCACTTTTATACCTACTGAAGCGCAGGGGTTATACAATTTGCCTGAAGTTAAATAGGAAGTCTGGCTAACAGAAAAATACACATCCTTTATCTCTTGTAAGTCTTAGTTTGGCATGGGCTGTACTCCTCATCAGAGACATCATGTTGCAGATGCTATTTTGTCAAGGACGGTAGAAAGTGAGAATAGTTTCTGGTTAAGTAGCCAACATACAGGAAAGTGATGAAAAACATTTTATGTTGAGTAGTGTGTGCTAGTTGTGATTTCTGGTTCATTTTGTTAAGGGGTGAAGATGTGGTGCATGCTAGAGAAAGGAAGAGATTTGGGAAGAATGGTAATTGCATAGGTTTCCTTAACTGTATTTCTGTGTTTGTTCAAAAATTATTGGGCACTTAACATGCATGCCGTGAGTCGGCTCCAACATGCTGCAAATCAGTCTGTCGGAACAGACTTGATTAACAGAGTCTGCTGGAGCACATAATTGATGCGCACGGCGCTGCATCGGGAGCATGTGTGCGAGCAGCACAGCACGCATCGGTGCTGAGAACATAGCAGGTGGTGCACTTTGAACTAAAACACATTCAATGTGCTTTAATTCAAAGCGCACCACCGCCATTTTCTCAGTGCTGGCACACGCTGTGCCACTTATGCACCTGCACCCAATGCAGGGTTGGGCGCTTTTAATTAGCATGGACCACTAATTAAAAGTCCCTGGCACTGTGTCGGGAACATGTCTAAAAATGCCCAGTTAAAGGGAAGCGGTTAAAGGCACAGTACTGGTCATAGTGAAAAATATTTCAAACTACGAAAAATTAATTTTGTGTTTCTCTTCTGTTACTTACAGGGGATATTGAAATTCGAAACTTGTCATCTTTATTTGTGCAGCTGAAAACTAGATTTGGCTTAAAGATTTTGTTTGCTAAGGATGGAGAGAGACTATACATTCAAGTTGATAGCAGCTGGAAGAGAAGAACATTAGGACTTTGTGGAACTTTTAATGGAAACTTAAGAGATGACTTTCTGTAAGTGTTACATGTGTGTTTTGGGCTAAATTTAGTAACAAATGAAATATTCAGATAAATCTAATCAGCTAATAAAGACATTTCACTAATACTTTCATATTTTAGTAAGTCAGCCAACCAAAAATACCCTGAGTTTAATGCAAACAATTTCATTTATGATAATCACTTTTTAACATTAAACTGGATCCTATAGTTTATATCGGGGTTCTCAACTTTTTTCGAGTCACAGCACTCCTTGTTCATCTCAAGGCACCCGTTGGAAAATCCCAGCCCTTAATTTTCACTTGTGTTTTGACTACAGAAAAATAATAGAACAGTTCTTCTGTTGCAGAGAACTCAGACCAGAACAGAATGTTTTTAACACTATGAATTCTTACTTGAAATCTCTGGTTTTCTCTTCTGAATCATGTTTGCACAACCTAAAAGTGACAATATTGCTTGGCACACTGGATGAGAATCAGTGCTTTATACAATCAATATTTCTTTGTAAAGTTTTCAGTAATTAGGGTATTTAACCTACTTTTATCTTTATCATGGAGGTAAGATGCATGAGCTCTTACAGAGAGAGTGTTGCCTGGTGATTAGGGGAGGGGCCTGGGTATAGAGATTCATAAGATGAACTCCTGGTCCCTCTGAAGTCAGTAGAAAAACTCCTTTTGGCTGCATTGGGGTGAAGATTTAATTCCTGGGCCTTATTTCTAGTTTGCTATGTGACACCAAAAAAGCCCCAGGGAAGTGTGTGAGTTATACAGGGGCTGGGGAGCCAGGTCAAACTGATGCATTGCCTCTTTCAGTAAAGCACTATTTGTTTAGGGGTATTTTGGTTGGGTTTTTTTTCCCCATGTATGTCAGCACCCTTTGTTTTTACGCTGCCTATATCAAATAAAACTTCAATTCCTTTGATTTATCCAGTGGATAGGATTTTTTTTTTTTACTAAGGAAAACAATTCTGAAACCATGCTGGTTTTATTTCCATGATATGTGAAAGATGCTCTGCAAGTCATTTTTAGTTTTCAGAAGGATTAGCATGTGATCAGTAAAGCTTATTGAACTTGATCCTGATTTGATTTCTTTCTCTGACTTGATAGCTCCAGTACATCCTATCAGCATGTAGCACCACAGCTGATAAAATGGCAAAGTCCAATATTGATGTCATCCTTCCTTAATCACTTACTTCCTCCTGAACTTGTCTCGCATTTTCTTAAGTTTGACCGCAGCACTGAAAGGGAGAATCCTTTCATCATAAAATATACACTTTTCTCAGGTCTTGTGTTCTGCTTCCTTCTCAAGACTCAGTTTTTAAGAGCAAATAGAACTGTCAGAAATATTCAATGAAAAAACAATTTTAAAACATGAAAATTTGACCTACGTGTCATTTTTTGATGCTTCACTTCAACATCCACATTTTAGCAGTGGTCCAAGTCTTCTGTCGCTTATATCCTATTCAATTCTGATTTTAAGGTAGCTGTGTGCAGCGCAAGGATGACAGGCTGAATTTAAGAATATTTCCACAACAGTAACGTTTCACTTGGCGTTAATCCTGCTAGTCTTTTTATATTTTTGGTATGGAGCCTTTTTGGAGGAACAGTTTGAATGTTGAATTTAGTTGTTTGAAATTATTTGAGTTGCTGAGTCTGATCAATGTGGTCAGTAGACTCATCAGCATTTTATTTTAATTGTTCAGAGGAAATAGCTGCACTTCTTATGCACGTCAGCTATGTAGGTTAGTGTCTTCCCCACCACCACCCAAGGGCTTGATCCCTAGTTTTACTTGAACAGTTGCTGGGAAGGGTGCAGAGCTCAACCAACACATTGCTGGTGCTGATTCAGAGACATAGCAAAGTGGCTTTGTACTACCCCATTAAGTAGTATTGGAGAGGACCTCTGGTCATCCTGTACTTGAAGAGGTACAGTCACAGTTCCCTGAAAATATTGGAAGACATGTCATTCTACAGAGATGTGGCACAGGAAAAGTAGGCCGTCAAACACTTTCCCTATCCTTCTGCCAGAATAAGGCCAGACTGTTCTTTCTTCTCCCTTATAATGAACAAAAGTTTAAAAGGTGACTGTCATCCCACCTGCTGTTCAAATTCAGTGCATTTTTCTTTTCATAATTTGAACAGAAGAATAACAACTTTACAGCCAAGAAAAATATCATAAATGAAAAAATGCTCAAAATAAAATGGCAAATTGTATAAACAAAAATGAAAGGAAAATATTAATCACTTTAGCATATCTCCACCAAGAGGGAATTCCTGTCCCATAACTTATACACAGCTGCCACCTAGCCTGATGCATCTTTTCTTGAATAAATTTGGTTTTCTTTTATTTTAATATTCTGACTAGTGTAACCCTCCTCAGTAGATATTGCTGAAAATAGTTTTGTATTAAAATTTACTTTTGAATACATTACAAATAAGACCGTTTCACATGTCACACTTAAACAACAGTCTTGGCCTTCCTTTCTTAAAATCATTTCTGTATTAAATAATAAAATTGGTCAATGATGGACTTTTTTCCTTCAGAAAAATGGACGCACAACAAACGAATATGCTGTAAGGTTAGAATTATTCTCAATACTTTTCAGTATTATATGTTTGGAGATAAACATCAAAAATTGCAAATTTAGTATGTATGTGGAATTTGTATGATTGTTATAAGGTCTTTATGAATGGGGTTACTTAATGTCTTATGAAACACTTGTAATGTTACACAGAATACTTGTAAGATCTTGATTTACCTTTCCAAAGTGTTTCTTTAACTAACATCAGGCATGGTATTAGCTTTTGTTGATTCATAGGTAGGGACCTTCCGAAAATTGTGGCAATGGCTCTTGTAATCTTGCTCAGTTTGTTGCATTCCCAACTCTTTCCACCCCGCACCCGGCTCCGATTGGCAGAGGGCCCCAGTAGCTCTGCCACTTGGTGCTGATTAGCTGTGAGGCAAAAAGCATGGGTTTTAAATTTATAGTGCTGTTTTTGCCCCCACAACAAGTGGTGGGGCTGCTGGGGCCCCTTGGCCTATCAGTGGTGGGAGGCAAAAATGGTGGCATATTTAAAACTGCGGTATTTGCCTCCTGGCCAAGGCGAGCAGTGGGGCTCCTGGGACCTCTCTGCTGATTGGGTAAGGGGGGTGCACAGCAAATTAGCAAAATCAAAGGAGCCACTGCACAGCACACTTCCACCATGATTTCAATAGGTCCCTATTCATAGGTAGTTTTTGATCCTTGAAAAGGAAAACATCTCTGAGAGAATTTTGTTAATTATATTTCACTATCTACCTCTACTAGAAGAAAGTTTAATCAGCACTATAAAAATATGCATAATTCCACTGTCATACGGAGACACTGGGATTAATGAGAGAAATGCAAGCAGACATTAATAGCTGTTTGATGTGATAAGGCATTCTAAAACATTTACTTTACCTTTTCTTTTCTCTTTAGTTCTCCAGCAGGGATGGTTGAAGGAACCCCACAACTTCATGCCAATGCCTGGAAAGTTTCCTCATCCTGTTTTGTGCCTGTCAACATCCCTGTGGTTGATCCTTGTAATATTAATCAACAAAATGGTATGTTCTCACCTGGGAATTTTGATTTGGATTGATTTTAGCCACTTCATTAGGTCAGAATGTTGTTCCCTATATAATCTGAGTCTCATAGTTACTTGCAGCTCATATACGAATATTATTTTAAATTCAATCTATACATTGAAATTATCCCCCATTTCCTTTCCCCTCTTGCTTTAGTAAACATCCTTTTTTGGCTTGTTTAATTCCTATAATATATCAAGTGAAATAAGCCTGGGCACCTACTAATTTGGTTATTCATTTTGGACACACTTGTTTTTCAAGGAATGCATGCTTTGCAAGTTGGATGCCCTTGAGTCTAAATTTTACTCTGACGTGCTACATAGTGGTTACCTCCTTTGACTCAAGCAACTAGCCAGAATTTCAGGTTTATAGTTTGTTTCAGTTAGGATGGAGAATCTGGTCATAGAAATGGGTGTTTCTTTGAGAGAGTTTTTTTTTTTGTTGTTGTTTTTTTGTTTTAATGACAAAGGATACATATATCATGTATTAAATCCAATTTACCTTAGTGCAGAGGAATTGGACTTTCAAGTTCGGCTAGCACCAAAATACAAAAGTCTTCTCTGTAGACTTCTCCCTGGGACGTATTATTTGTCCAGACTGTATCTGGACCTTTCTTCACTGTCTTTCTGTGTCATACTGGCTGCTATATACTTTCTCACTTTTTTCTCTTTGTTCTGGCACACATGTTCAGTCAACTCCAACAATACCCAGATAAGCCCTCTGTCCAGATGGTTCAAATTCTTGAGTGCACCTGCCTGTGCTTTTGTTCTGGGTGGTAAACTGCACCTACTTTTAGGTTTGAGGTCTCTACATTTGTTCCTACAATTAACCCAAATGAAGGATGGTTATTAACATTTTCAGCAGGATTTAATCCAACCTGTAACAGATCACAGACCTTTTAGTAAGTTATGCACACATCCATGGATAGAATTTGATCTTAAATGTTTTTGTGTTTTGGGCATAACCTGAAAGCCTATAATCAGACTTACACGGGGTGTAGGCTGTAGCTGACTTTACCTCCATTGAAACCAGTGGGACTTAACCCTGTATAAAGACTCCAAAATGGTACCTGAGTATGCTGTAACCCTTAGGACTGACTAGAGTCTTAAGGTATTTTATGCCACCAGGGTCTAGAGTAGGGGTTGGCAATGTGTCCCAGCATGTGACCCACCAAGTTTCTGCACCCCACAAACTGCAAGAAGCATCCTGAAGCTCACTGTGCTTTTGGACATGTGGAGAAGCTGTGGTAGCAGCAGGGTCTGTTCTGCACCACATCTTGGACAGCAGCTGCAGTAGCAGTGACTGGGTCAAAGGTGTCAGCATGTTCTTGGGCAGCCTGGCACATGGCATAAAATAGCTTTGGGGTGCGTGGAGGAACTGCAGTTTCTGCCCCAGTGTCTCCTGCTGCAGCTGCTGCCCAGAACATGGTGCAGAACAAACTACATGCCTGCAGCTCCTTCTTATGTCTGGAAGTGTGCTGCACTTCAGGATGCTCCTCATAGTCTGCTGTGTCCCAAAGCTTGCTGGGTCACATGCTGGGAACAGCTGTAATGGCAGGATCTGGAACAGGGGCTCTGTCATATCCCTGACCAGACAGGGACTGATGGAGTAGTCAAGTAATCATTCATATAAGGCTGTGCTTGCTAGATCGCAGGTGGTGGGGATGCTTTGTGGGTAGGAACCTGTGTTGCTGGGGCTTGGGGTACAGAGTGGGACCTGCCTTCAATCATTGTATGGGCAAGGGTGCTATTCCCCAACTCCTTGTGAGTGTGCAAGGCTGAGGACTGTTGCCCTAGAGCAGGGGTGGCCAACCTGCAGCTTCGGAGCCACATGTGGCTCTTCAGAAGTTAATATGTGTCTTCTTGATTCTTTGCACAAGCACATGGTGACCATCTTCCATTTGGACACACCTAAAGATTCAAGGAGATGCATATTAACTTCTGGCAGGCCACATGTGGCTCTGGAGCTGCAGGTTGGCCATCCATGTCCTAGAGTGTTCAGAGGAACTAGGATTGCTCCAGTTGGTGCACCATTAGTTTTTCCCACTGCTGAGAAACTGGTTGCTGATGCCTGTTCTAGAGTATGATGGTTGGAGAATGGAAAGCCTGTTGCCACTAGGAAGGTGTGGGGCCAGTTTAGGACATGCATATAGTCATTTCCCGCAGGATTCCCTCTTCTTTCCTCTGGTCTGCTTGAAATAGTGCTCCACCCCTCCCTGATGTCAAGGCCAACCTATTTCACGTAGACATGAAGTAGCCAGTTTTGGGTAGCAGTCTTGGACCCTCCATAAATTGCCATACCCAGAAGTAGCTGACAACACATTTTGTTACTGTTAGTGTGACTGCCTGTGGTGCTGCAGGTGAGCTAACCTCCCAGAAGGGAGGTTTCATGACACCATGTGGCATAGGGATGGCCAGCTAAGGATCAGGTTTCCAAATTCAGGACAGAAGTCCCGTTTCAGAAATTCATTATTGATGCAAGAGCATGGTTCTAACACTTGAGTCCATAACATACTGGACAGCTGAACACTTTATACAAGGAAGCGCTAAGGATGTATGACGCATTGTGACAGTTGTAGTCGATCACCTGATGCAGAACCCAGCATGTTAGTTGATGAGGCTGCCAGATCACGGGTAGTGGGTTGAAAAGAGGAAGATGAATATCCACTGGGCTTTCTTGGCAGCTCTGGGGGAAACAAATGGAGGGTTTGGAAGGCAAGGAGGTTTTCATGTGGAAAAAGGTAGAAGGAAAGAGCAGAAAGAGCTGGGCTCCTGGAGAGTAACGGAACTGGGTGCCCAAGGTGAGTGATTGTTCTTTAAGGAGACGATACTCAGAGCCCAAAGGGTGACAATCCCAACGAGAAGCAAAGGGAGCAAGAGTGCCCAAAAGCCCCCCTGGCTCACCAAGGGCATTCGTGAATGCCTGATTGCCAAAAAGAAGGCCTACACCAGTGGAAGGGGGAGGGACTATCACCAAAGGGGATTTTCCTCCACTGCTTGGGTCTGTGGGGGGGGCTGTTAGGAAAGCTAAGGCAGATATGGAACTAGGGCTAGCATCAAGGATCAAGGATAACAAAAAGTCCTTTTTTAAATGCATAGGGAGAATGAAGAAGGCCCCAGGTAATGTGGGGCCCCTGCAGGATATGCTAGGCAATCTGGTGGTTGCACCAGAGGAGAAAGCAGACCTCTTTAACAATTTCTTTGCCTCCATTTTCTTGTGGAGG